CACAGCGGTATGTCTTCGGACTTACAACGTTAGAAACCAGGTTTCGATGCCCGTAGTTGGCAGAGCACAGATAGCCCATTGTGTAGCTTTGTGCTTAACTTCAAAACGAAATTTTGTTATGTTTCAGAATTTATAGTGCGTACTGGAAGTATTTAAACATTTTGACAATAAAGTTACACAAAAAAACGACCTTAACTCTCCAGGTAATAATAATAACTTTTTAATTCAGCCAACGTTTCGCCACAGCAGCTTTATCATGGCTAGTAGTACAATAATTGTTTGATGTGAACGTATATTTTCACATCCACACAGTTCTTGTGCTGTTAGCCATGAAGAAGCCCCAATGGCGAAACGTTGGTTAAAATAAAAAGTTATTTTTTTTGTATTGTTATCTGGAGAGCAAAGGTTGTTTTTTCTGACTATATTTCTAACTTTGTAATTATGCTTATAAACACAAGTACAAACTTAATAATAAAATCACACTCGAAGCTGATTCCCTTACAGATAAGTGAACTTTTAATAAAATAATACATTCAATTTATTAACAAGGCAAAAAGAAAAAAAAACAGATGGCGCTGTTGCAATACCTGGGGTTGGTTATTTGACCGTTAAGTTTGATGAGATTCTGTGAATGTGTACAATATATTTTATTTATTATCAAGTAAAATGCAAAAAACAATAGAATATTATGTTAAAATGTAATATATATGTATTACATTCTTCGAGGCACGAGAACAGTTGACACAAAGCAGCTGTTGCTGGTGGATTTCTGACAAGGCTGTAAAGTAGATCAATACGGTAACTTTTCCGGACCATTCTTTCACGGCAAGAACAACAATAATTCTAGACATATGTCTAACATTCAGGAAAACTTGCTTATGTGTTATGGTGGGTATGGCGTTCCTATGGTAACGCTATAACCAAACAGTACTGAACAATATAGGTTGAATTCATTGTATGACGTAAATTTCTTTATTAGAGAAAGTTAACAACCTCACCATCACCACCAAAAAAGGTTATTTTAAAATTACTCTCGATACGAGCACGTGAATCAAAGTGAATATGCATTGGTATTCGAAATTGAGCGGAATTTTATGAGGAAATGTGTGTATGTATTTACAGTTATAAGAATGTGTGTATGTATTTACAGTTATAAGAATGTGTGTATGTATTTACAGTTATAAGAATGTGTGTATGTATTTACAGTTATAAGAATGTGTGTATGTATTTACAGTTATAAGAATGTGTGTATGTATTTACAGTTATAAGAATGTGTTCCGTATTTCAGCAATGAACAAGATCATTGTTACCACATCATTGTGAATCTACTAAAGTTCCAGCAACTTAACCTGAAAGTAGATTTAATAAATTTACTTTCCTATAAGGCAGACGTCACAACTTAAACTAAAACTAGTCATTTCTTTTGATAGTATGATCTTAATACATAATTCCAATATAAGTTTGAAATAAATCTCTGAATACATAAATTAATCCATGCAATCTCAGTGCGTTATTAGTAAATTTAGTTATTTAATAAATTTACTTTCCTATAAGGCAGACATCACAACTTAAACTAAAACTAGTCATTTCTTTTGATAGTATGATCTTAATACATAATTCCAATATAAGTTTGAAATAAATCTCTGAATATATAAATTAATCCATGCAATCTCAGTGCGTTATTAGTACGGGTTATTTATTTTTGTTATCATATAAATTAGTTACTAAATCCATTATTAGCATTGATTACACAGCCCTACGAATTTAAACTTCATAAAAGTTGTTTTGGTTTTAATAACGGATTTTCCATAATTCAGCTACTCAGATTTCGAAAATAATATTATTATTTTTTTTCTATCACGTAAGGGTTTTTACAAAGCGGGAAGAAAATAACTCTTACTTAGATGAAATTATTATTTCGTTTACCACAATGAACATTTATTATTATTATGTTTGTATTCTAGAACGATCGATAAGACTGTCGCGTCGCGATTGGTCTAGAAAAATCTATAGCCAGTTGTTGTCAACATTTTAAGCATCACAAAATGTGACCCGATTTCAATGAAAATTATTCACTTATGTAAAAGTACATATGACGTTTTGTGAAAATCATTTTCGAATTCAGCGTACAGGAATTACTGTAGAACATGTACAAATTTCAAGACAATAAAACCATAGCAGGCCTGTGTTATTTATCTTTTATTAACCATATAAATTATTTACTAAATCTACGCAGTTTAAAGACGTTATATGCGCTAATTATTTACTAAATCTACGCAGTTTAAAGACGTTATATGCACTAATTATTTATCTTTCATCAACTATATAAAATGTTTACAAAACAAGAAGTATGTAAGTGAGGTAAAAGGCTTAACTTATGTCGCCGGAAATGGATCTTGTTTGTTTGTAATTAAGCACGAAGCTACACAATGGGCTATCTGTGATCTGCCCATCACGGGTATCGAAACCCGGTTTCTAGGGTTGTAAGTTCGCAGACATACCGCTGTGTCACTGGGGGGCTGTAAATGAATCATATTTGAAGTTGTGACAACCATTTTCGAAGACTGAAAACATTTTTCTATCTTTTCATAGACTTGTAGCCAATCTTTCATTTTCTCGCGTGCCTTTTCGTTGTATTATATTTTCATTTCTACGATACTCTATTGTGTTTCATGGAGATTCGTTACCAACGGCAGCATATGCATTAGCTGAATATGTCAAACCTGCTGTACTACTTAAGTACTAGAATTAACGTTGAACGACTATGCAAAAATAAAAATAAAAAATGAGTGGTCGCAGACCTTAAGTAGTTTATTCTGTTATATAAAGCCCTTAAAAAACTATTGAATTAAACTTTTCTGTTCCGATTATTATGAGTTTTATACTACTGTAATATCGCATGTCTTTTGTTAAATATGCGTGTTTCTAAGAGTAGCTTAATCAATAAACATTTCATTTGATTGTGAAACGCTTCTCGAATGTTTCAGTATTTTATCGGAGTTTGAAAAGGCCTTCTTTCCTAAATGTGGACCTATTTGCAGATAAACTAAAAGCATTCGTTCTTTCTTGGATCGCTTCGCACTTTCAGCTGTGAGTGCGTTATAAAAGTAGCAGTCCATCCTGTTTTTCCATTCCAGGATTCAGACAACGTTCTTGTGGTGGCGGGTCACGCTGACTATCTGACCTCGCCATTTAGCCCATGTGCCCATGGGGATGCTATTCTGGTTGATAATATCAATACAATTCTTTATAAACTCTAAAATAATTATTTGTAAAGTGTAACTAATATAAGTTCAGTCTTGCTTTATATCACACACGATTATTTGCTCTCATATTCTTTATCTATCTGTTACGAATACGATTAGAAACTCAAACGATGTGTAGTTAACTATCCTCTTATGAAGACAGAAAGAAGCCGAGGTTCACACTTAAATGCAGATTTTTTGAAGTTTTTTTAAATTAGACTATTATAGATTTCAAGTCAGAGCTGTGGAAGTTTTATCCTGTTTTGGGTAGTTCCCTAACTGTATACTCTACTGATCTAGTCAAATTAAAGATTAAACATTGCCCTCGCGGTTTATAAGTTTAGCTGACGTGTGGGTATGGTATCAATTTTAAATTTTGAGTAGACATGAATAGCAAGCAGCATATCTCATGAAATTATTACCAAGAGTGTGGAGTGGTTGGTTTGATCCATACATACTATATTTGTCGTTTCGATGAAGCTTAAAATAGGCCATGCAACACTTCAAAGAGCTCGTACAGTATTGGCAAGAAGTTGTTGTTTTTGTTTTACATTAAGTCTTAAATTTTTTAACAAGCCTCACATGCAAATGAATAACATTTTTTTAGCATTGTTGATTTTTCATATTTTTTTTCTTTTAGAGCAAAGTCATATTTGGCTATCTGTTGTGTCCACTGTGGGGGAGAATCGAACCATGCATTTTATCGTTGTAAGTCCGTAAACTTACCGCTTTCTCGCCGGGGGGACCGGTTTTTTTTATAAGTCATGGCCTTAAAATTGGAAAAGACGTAAAATTTCATGATAGAATATATTAAAAAGCAACTGTTTTTAAAGAAATACTGGCACAAGTTATCATTCAACAAACACTTAAGTTCCTAAGGGTTCATTTCTAAAACGATGACCAAGCCAGAACGTGGTTTGCTTTGTAAATCATTCAAAATACTAGTTAAGTTTTACATAAAAATCTGAGCGAAAAGATTATACTACTAAAAATAGCTAATTGTTAAAATCTAACAATGGCTAAGAACTCTGTATGGTGTCACAGCTTGTAGTCTTAGCTTCCAAAAGCAGATGCCAGATAGTTTTCAAAATTCCACTTGTGATCAAACAATCACTGACTGTTAAAATACAAAGCTTCAGATTAAAATGCCGTTTTTCTTATCAATTCATAGAATATCATTTCGTAGTCCAAAAGTTGTCAATATAACGTAACGTTACGAGAAATGTGCATCTATTTACACAGCAGTGCTGAATGAAACATTATACCGTTAGGGGTTCAGTACGACAACCCTCCCTCTAAAGCACATACATTCCTGTGACAGGAATGGTATTTGTAAAATAGCCTGACCAAGCCAACACGTACTTTAATAATATATTTTGGCAAGTTGTTAAGAAGTAATAAATATAAAAAAAATGATGATGATGAATCATTTTTCTCTGAAGATGATTTGTAAATAACACTGAAAAAAAAAAACAACTAAAATATGTTTGGTAAATTTACAGCTGTCGTTAGCCTTCATTTCATAGTACAAGTGGGTAACTGTAAAGACATCTTGATGTACAGTTTCGCTGTAGTATTTGTTTTTTTTATGAAATTAAAATAAGTTCTAGTTGCAGGACAAAATATTTATTGACTGTAAAATCCTAAATAATCTTAGCAGAATTCACACTACATTTGTATATTACTGACCATTGAAGAAATAGGACTCCCTTTATACAACATTTACTGTTACAGTTAGCAGTTTGGAATTAACATTGTCGTCCAAAGTAAACTGTTCATTGCCTTGCTTTGAACAAGAAAATCAAGTACATTAATTGTTAAGTGAATTTCTTATATCTGTAAAATAAAATGAATAAGAAATATATCCTGTTTTTATGTGGTAAATCGAAAAATGTAAAAATTAATCAAAAGAGGAACTTCATTCTCTACTCTTTCTCTCTGTACTTTCCTTACAAAATTAGTTGAGCAAAGTAGAAAGCCATCCCAAAGAGAATTCTTATTTCCTTTTCTGGAAAGAAAAATAGTTTTGAAATTAAAAGTATCAAAACGTTTTTCATTTCGTTTCTTTGTATAGTTTATCAAGAAAAGTAACTTTATCTAGCAGGTAATGTGATCAGTGGAAGTATTTCAATAATGATAATTTTGGAGAAAAAGGCAGTTTAAGTCAGCCTGTTACTTAGTGGTTAAATGGTTACTTTGAAATTTATACAGTTTGATAAATTTTGTCACGCCTCTATCTCTTACATTTGATTTTTTACCGATTTTTATATCAAAATAGTTTTATTTCACGTGTCCACTGAGGGTCCTCAGACGTGATTTTTGGCCTTTAGACGTCTCGAGCTCCGAGTTTTTTTCAGGTTTTTTCTTGAAGGTCCTCTTTCGCGTCAACAACATCTTACTAAGGTAGTCGGGCCAGTTGCTAGGTGACAGTACCAGCAGGAAACCGATGTTAATGAGAATGACTCCTACCAGTTTCATACCCCTGAACACCACTCCATACACCCGGATGTCAATAACTGCAATAAAAAACAAGAAAGAAATAACAAGTTTGGAAGTACACAAGTTTCGCTATAGCAAAAACAAAAAAAAACAGTTTTTAATAAATTTAGTTTACTTACAGATCTTTATACTTATTTGCATGAGAACTGACCTGCGGAAACTGGAACTGCCAAAACTAGACCAAGGGTTAAGAATACTTCGTACGTCCATAAGACTCCGAAGTTACCCAAAAGATTGGCCACTGGAAAAAGAAAATTAGTTGTTTTTAGTCTAAATTAATACAATGATGTGAACCGTTTACAGAATTTTCTTTAAGTGAAGTCGGAAGTGTCTGAGATTTTTTTTAGAGCTGTTTCTATAGTTACTCTGTCTCAGATATCCACCAAGCGACATGTGCTACAGTGTCTATGAGTTTACGCTTGTCTGTACAACCGTTAGAACTTATTCTGATTGAACTTTTAGAGCTTCGATTTGGTGGTTAAATAACTAAAAGTAACGTGAGGTAAGATAGCATAATTATAATCAAATCTAATAGATTAATTAGGCAAATATCGAAATACGGAACTTTCGAACCTCTTCTGTTAAACATTCGTAATTAAATTTTTAATTACATCATATGTTACGATGCAGTATAGAACAACCTTCCACGCTTTGTTCTTGTTCTAGGAAATTACGTGGTTGTCTGAGATATATTTTCAATTCTCAGCATTATTTTCACAAACATTGACAAATTTAAGATAACAAAAGTTCAAATAAAATTCTCAATATTTTCAGCTGACCAGTAGTTTGACATTATATATATATCCGTATAAAAGCCTCAAAACATAGGAAAATACAAGGAGGGGCATTTAAAACAATATAAAGTTCACAATGCTGAAGTTACATATAAAAGTAACGAGTCAGTGAACATGTATTTACTAAAAATAACACAACGTCACCTGGTGAAAGCTAAAGGAATTTAAATTAAATGATCGCTTGAACAATGCATGAAATAAATGAAACTTCTGTTAATAAATTCATCGGAAGCCTTTCAAAAGAAAGAAATTTTAACACTAATAAACCTTAACGTTAGATAACACAATAAACTAGGAAACTTACCCAATGATAGGGATGCAGCGCCACCTAGTAAAGGCCATGGAAGTTGATTCCAAAAAATGGTTTCAGCATGAGTGAAGTATAAGCCAACAAAAAGAGGCCATATTAGCAAAGCGTTGAATAAACCAATAATAGTGAAAAACAGCGAAAGCTGACCAAAGGTTACCTCACCTATGAACTTCTTGAAAAACACCTACAGGGTAAGAATAGGTAGAGTTGATGCTACGTCGACACTCCAAAAGGATTATAAAATAATGTTTTATTAGAATATGCTCTCGTGTTGTTGTTTTTTTTTTAAATTTCATCAAGAAAAGTTAATTATACTGGTCAATCAAGCATAGAATTTCTGTTATAAAATTGCATAAATATCATTCAGTGTTATCCTACAAAAGTTCAAACCTCTTGATCAATTGAACATTTAATTAAAGCTAGTTTGAGGTGAAAATGGATAATTTTTATTCTTAAAATATGAAACACGCCATACTTTGAACACCTAACAAGTGAAATGCACCATGATTGAAACACCTAAAACGTGTCGGACCTTATCACGCTTCCAACATTTAACATGAACGTACTACAGACTAATCTGAAATATGCGGCTCCATAAGAAACTTCAAGTATTTTTGACAAAAAGTTGCGATAGTTCAGGCATTTTTGAGTAAAAGTTGACAGAAACTTTTTTTTATAAGAAACTTGGGAGTGATGAATCCATTTCTTCTGTCTACCAAACTTAACCTTTCGAAAAACAAAATGGCCAGCAGAACATGGAACGACAGCCAATTTTGCATACTACTGTTACGAAAAGACTTTTCAAGCACTGTTTTGCCAATGGTTTTAGGATATTGAATTCAAATTTCACGTTTATTACATCCTAGAGCAAAGTTTTGACCTTCAAACTGCATCCAAACAAAATGGCCACCAAGAAGTAGGAGCAATAACATTATTCCAAAACGATAATTGAATGTAATTTGTTGAAAGATATTTTATTGTGCCTTTTATGATTAAGCCTTAATAAAGATGCTCTTATAAAGGCTCTAGAACGTTTTATTTTTAAGTTGAATGAACTACGATGCCACAAAATAATGCTGTACAATAATGCTATGTAACTGCATCTTTATTAAGGCTTAATCATCAAAAGTATAATAAAATATATCTCCATAAATTAACATTATTATCTTGGAAAAATGATGTTGATCTATTTTTTTCGCCACTTAATTATGATGCATTTTGAAGGTCAAAACTTTGCCTTAGGATTTAATAAATGTAACATTTGGATTCAGCACCTCAAAATCATTAGATAAAGAGTGTTTGAATGGTTTTATCATAAAAGTAGCATTGCAAGTTGGCTCTCGTCCTGTTTTCTGGTGGACATTTTATTTAGTTTTTTAAACGTTGAGCTCGACAGATAGAGTTTGGCAGTTAGCAGAAATGGATTCAACACCTCCAAATCCTTAAGAGAAACTACATGCTAACTTTATTCAAAAATACCTAAGAGTGTTAGGTTTTCTGAAAAGCGAACTAGTCCACTGTAGGTTCGGGTATTACTGGACTGGACATAGCCTTTTGATTAGCATGCCTGGACTGTGAATTCAAAGGTTCAGTGTTTGAAACCCGTTTCAGCAAAAACGCACTCGAACTTAGGGGTCATGGATGCGCTATAAAAGTGAAGGTCAAATACCATAATTCGGCCAGTCACAGTAGCCCAAAAGTGGTAGTGAGCGCTACTGAGCCGATGCGTTTCCTATAGTGTATCAGTTCAATTAAAATCGTGGACCTAGAAAACAGGCAAACGATAATCATTATAATACACATTATCCACAAAGGTGGTGTCGTTTTTCAAACGCCCACATTATGTGAGGCGTTAACGTTCGTACCAGTACACTTTAACAAATGTCTACACTGAAAGAAAGTAGCCTTCAATATTGATTAGAATAAAGTCTCATGAGAGTTTCTGAAGGAAAAATGTTAAAAAAAGAGAAGAACACTTGAAATTCTATTGTGACGCCATTTCCAGAGTAAGCGGTCTAAATCTAGGAAATATTGTTATATTTGGTTAATTATTCATCACATATCAGTGATTATTGATGAAGATAGTATCGTCATATACCCTTGTGTGTCTTTCAGTATTTTTATATTTTATCATATGTAATACGAAAGCATAGTCCCTATTGTTAGAACTAACGAGACACAATGGTTCCGCTATACACATATAACCATGCCTTCCTCCCATCATCATCGTTTTACTGAAAGATTGGATAATTGTGGAGATCTAATATCAGTTAGAAATTGTTGAAGTTATGATATCATTGTGTTTTACTAACCTTGTATACTGCAGAACCAACCGCTGATGCTGACGCTAGAATAACGCCTCCTAGTGTTAAAGTCCTGGAAGCTCCATCCATATAAGCCAAGAGTGAAATACCTGTATTGCATAGGATCACTGCCACTATCTAAGAAAAAACAACAACAAATATACATGAATTGGCGAAATATTTCTAAACAAAATAACAAGGTAATTATTACCAGTCTCAATGGATATATATATATATATATGTATACACTAACCTAAACAATTAGGGGTGTAAAGTCGTATTTAATACCTCCTCAACAAGCGTGTATTCATCTCATCAACCGTGTGTTCAGCAGTGCAACAACAAGTAAGTTCAAAACCAATTTCAACTTCACGTTATACACCTAAGCGGCACTTCAATGAATCATTGAGAACGATTTTTCTAAATACAAAAAAAAAAGAGGATCGGAAAATTATAATATAAATTAGCATGAACACAGAGTTCGATTAGTGAAAACTGAGTAGATTATAAGTTGGTGAATACTAACCCTAATTCCCACAAATTGTTCGTGAAGCACAACCCAAGACAGCAAGTACACAAAAGAGACGCTTGACGAATATAGCGCAACTACGACAGTCGTGTCAAGGATTCTTAATGAATGGATAAACATATAGTTTGTGACGACCCACAGCAGACAGAACAGCCCACAGCGGCCAAGAAACTGGACAACGGTGAAACCTTTTTCTCGAAACCCTTGCACGCACTCTCTGAAAAAAAAAGAAAAGCAGTATAATAGTTCTAGTTGTTTATAAATGTGCAGCCTCTGAAATAGAAAACAAAAGATAGTGATATGATACAGCATAGTTGGTTGTAAAAACGTAGCCTCTGAAATAGATAAACTAAAAGATAGTGATATGATACAGCATAGTTGGTTGTAAAAACATAGCCTCTGAAATAGAAAACAAAATATAGTGATATGATACAGCATAGTTGGTTGTAAAAACATACCCTCTGAAACAGAAAACAAAAGATAGTGATATGATACAGCATAGTTGGTTGTAAAAACATAGCCTCTGAAATAGAAAACAAAAGATAGTGATATGATACAGCATAGTTGGTTGTAAAAACATAGCCTCTGAAATAATAATTAAAAAAGACTGACAGCCTCGCGCACCAAACTTTCTTAAAAGTGGAGGTGGGGTAGGCAAGCGTAAGGAAGAACAGGAGAGTGAATGAGGTTAGGCTCTTGTGCTGACAGTAGTATAGCTATAATGGCTGTGGATGCAAAACCTCTGACACAGCTATCAAAAATGAATAACATATTTGTGGCAGTGGCATAGCCAGGTTTTCTACTCGAGGGGCAGAAAATTTTAAGGGGGTCAATAAATTCAAAAGCTGAAATTGATCTAAATTTTTAATAAAATGGTCATTAAAACACAAATCAAATCTAATAGTATTTATAGAAGTTTTATTTTTTATTAAATGATATAAAAGGAGTTTATTATATGTACAAGCTGAAAAATAATATGTGATCAATATGCCTAAATTTTTCAGGGGGTCTGACCCCCTTGAGCACCCCTTGACCATGCCTCTGATTTGTGGTTGATTTTGGATATTATGAAAGGTAAGTAAACTAAATGATTTTATTATATACAAACTACTATTACACAGCATCGACATGAGTATCATAAACATGTACTTAAGTTTTTAGCTTACTTTAGCACTTTGCTGCAAGCAGTAGGTGGCGTACGTGAGCAAAGCCTCGCTCCCATATAAACCGGGAAGAAGAAGGCATTCCAAATGGTGCAAAACCAGGTGGTAAAGAAGGGCGCATCGTAGGAGGATGACGTCATCGTTGGTGCATGTGCTATAGTCGAACTCCCCTTTTCACTACCAGCTGGACTTGAAGAATTAGGCACCAATACTCTGACGTAAACGTTATTTAGATAGGTGGAATTGAGCAAATGAGCCACGCTCACCCAGCAAGTGGCCAATAAGACCATTAGGAACATTCCGATGCTGATTATCTGTGTTTGTTCCCTCAAACAATTTTGTTTGGCTCCGTCGTTTTGGGACTCATTTACAATGTCCTCGGGATCGTCTGTTGAAAAGATAAAGAGTATGTTAATTAAAACTGCGGACAATAGGCAAAAGTTAACATACTGTGAGTAATGCAACAATGTAACAAGGATTCAGTTAGTGTGCAAACAAAATAACAATTCCTGAAAGGGAAGAAGAGGTCAATGCTAAACCTGACTCTCCCTGAACCAAAACATGGACCGAATCCCGATATAGATGAAGAAGAAATAGAACATTAAGTTTGATAAAGTATCTGGAAATAGATTTAAAAGTATAAAGCTTCATTAAAACAAAAGATACTCTCTTAAAAACTGACTCTTAGATCAGTCAGAAAACACCAACCATAAAAAGAGTCAAAATATTTAATTTCATTCTTTACTTGTAACACATAATTACTTGTGTTTCTTATGTAATGTAAAAAACCTAGATGTTACTTACTGTTCTGCCCCCCAGTGGCACAGCGATATGTCTGCGGACTTACAACGCTAGAATCCGGGTTTCGATTCCAGTGGTGGGCATAGCACAGATAGCCCATTGTGTAGCTTAGTGCTTCATTACAAAACAAACAAACATACAAACTTACTGTTCTTGCGTTATGATATAACATCGGAACATTGGGGCCACTTAATATCAACACCTTGACTCTTATACCAGCGTATTATGTATTATACGTAATATCAAAACCTTGGGTGTTATATTATAACAGTGTATTAAACACATCAAAACCTTGGGTGTTATATTATAACAGTGTATTAAACACATCAAAACCTT